ACAGGCCCTCAGCGGCGTGCAGATGCTGCGCCGCGGGCCAGCCCCGCCGCCGAGTGCGCCGCCAGGGTCGCCCCGCGGGCGGCAGCGGTCGCGGCACGGGGATCCCATACCGACATCGCTCGAGCAGAGGCGAGCCTCGCAGCCCAGCGACGCCAAGCTTGAGCAAAGATGGTTCTTAAGGAGTAGGAGGAGGAGGAGGAGGAGGAGGAGGAGGAGGAGGAGGAGGAGGAGGAGGAGGAGGAGGAGGAGGAGGAGGAGGAGGAGGAGGAGGAGGAGGAGGAGGAGGAGGAGGAGGAGGAGGAGGAATAGGAGGAGGGTGAGGAGGAGGAGGAGGAGGAGGGGGATGAGGAGGAGGAGGAGGACAAAAGCATCGCGCGACCTGCGGCGGAGAGGGAAGGGAGATGAGACGGGAGAGTGGGATGGTCGTGTTGCCCGTGATCCCGTGGTGCGTAAAGCGCACTTCGTGTCCTGCACCGTTTTAGTACTTATATCCTTCGCCGCGACCAGATGTGGGAACACCTTGACGGACGTGAGATGTGCGACCAGATGAGGGTACTTTTGTGGAGAGATGTGGGATCTACGCTTCCAGACGAGAAGAGCCAGTACAAGTAGTTAGTTGCCGGGTGCATCTCAGCAAGTTTGGACTGTAGTCTCCGTTCGGTTCAAGTGGTGTTAAGTATTATTTGAGTGCAACTTCTTTCCTCCGCTGTTCTGTCATGCTAGTTCATAGCGTATTACCCATGGCAATATGGCTTGGCGCTTGGGGAACAGACGCCACGTTCATGGCTGAGCGTGGTATCAGGTTGACCCAGGCATCTCGACGCGAAGACTTGGAGACGGAAAGCGCTCGCCGATTGGTGCAAGCCCTTGGGTGCAGCAGTGACATTGATATGATTGCTTGTTCCCTGCATCAGCTGTATCAGGGATTCCACCGTCGTGATAACTGGCATTTAACTTCTAGCCGCGATGTTAGGGAAGGGCTCACTTACGGGGAGATTGAGATTGAGGGTGTTAGCGAATTGGTTGCTATACTTGAGTTTCTAGGGCCCTTGGAGGAGAGCGACACGATGTTCGATCTAGGCTCTGGCTTGGGGAAGATGGCAGTACAAATATTCCTCGCCACGAAGGTCCACAAGGTCATAGGCATCGAATTTGTACAGGAACGCGTGGAGGAAGGCATTCAAGTGCTTTCCCATATGCATCGTTTATTGCAGTTGCAGGGGGAGGGTGCGTCCGTTTCTGAGAGTAGCATCGGCAGTCGCAGTCTTACGTGCCCATTCGACGGCAGATCGCTAGCGTTTGAATATGGTGATTTCTTGGCTCGGGATCTGAGCGACGCAACAGTGGTGTACACTTGCTCAAATTCATTTCCAGACACACTGCTTCAGCGCCTTTCCAGTCACTTGGCAATGTCTTTGGCAGTTGGATCAGTACTCGTATCTCTTCGCAAGCTCCCTCAACCGCATCCGCGCTTGACCCCTTTGTTTCGGTTGAAGTCGGTACATGTGACTTGGGCGCCTCACCAGGGTCTCGCATTCGTGTATATGGTAGCGCCCCCCCCGCCACCACTTCCAGAGATAGCGAAGGCAGTGCGCGCACATTACGACGGCTTGGAGGATGGCTCAGACATCGGCATTTCCAGTCTGTTGCACAGTTGGGGGTCAGTTGGCGTGGCTGGTCGAAGACTCACCGCAGCAGCAGCTCTGTTCGACAAAGCCGCAGCTCGGCGTTGTGACGCCGAGGAACCAGCCTTGGATGCCGAGGGGCTCGAGGCGTTCTGGTGTGGTGGATCGCTCTCGAAAGATTCGCTGACCGCGGTAGACGCAGCGATGGGCACAGTGTATCGAACCATCAAGGTCACTTGGGCGGCTGGTGACCTGCGCTATCTGCCCATGTATGTAGGTGGGAAGAAAGTGTTGGCTAAGGTCGCTCCAGGTAGCTACCACGTGGACAACAGTCAGTTACTGTCGAGCACGCTGGGCTTGGGGCATCGTTTCAGCAAGGAGCTAGATGACATCGACGATGATAGTTATGCGAGGTGGAACACCACAGTGGTAGGCACGGATGAGATGGACGGCTGGTTGCGGACTCGAGGCGGCACATGTTTTAGCCCTGCGAACGGAACAATTGTGCGCATCCGCGATTCTCGAGGCCGCAGTCTGCTTCACGAGGCAGCCTTCCACGGCGCCGAGGGTCTCATCGAGCGCTTGTCGGCGCTGGGCTTGCCAGCAAACGTCCGTGACTTTGACGGGAGGGCGCCTCTGCACGACGCGCTGGACGCCACCGGACCTCGAGCGGGCAGCAGGGGCCTCGAGGCGCTCCTCGAGGCGCGCGCGGACGTGGACGCCCGAGACCGGGCGGGCCGCACGCCCCTCCACACGCGGGTGGGGTCCGAGGAGCTGGCCGAGCTGCTGCTGGCAGCCCGGGCGGACGCCAACGCCCGCGACGGCGCAGGCAGGTCGGGGGCGGCCAAGAGGGGTGGAGGACTGTGATGGGCCTGTTGTCCACCACCACCACAAGGTGGAGGGGTGAAGGAGGTGGAGGATGAGGATGAGGATGAGGATGAGGATGAGGATGAGGAGGAGGAGGAGGAGGAGGAGGAGGAGGAGGAGGAGGAGGAGGAGGAGGAGGAGGAGGAGGAGGAGGGGGACGACCCCGTCCCTCTCCTACTTATGGTGGTGCCGGTGGAAAACAAGCCCACCAGACTGGGGGGAGGGGGGGGGACGTCATGGCCAGGGCCACGACGCCTCCCCAGATGTCTTGGCGCTGCCTCGCATCTCAGTGCGTCCCTCGGCCCCCCTCTCCCTGGGCCGCGCACCTGCCTGGCGCCACGATTTGCGACCCCCCCCCTCCCCCTCGCAGACCCCCCCCCCGCTTGGACGCTCCCGAGCAGGGCGCCCCTGCACCACTGCCCCTCGAGGCGCTTCGCGGACGCGCTGGCGAGGCACGGCGCAGATCCGAGCGCTGTCGACGCGCAGCACTCTCGGGGGTCGTCGGCGGACCAGCTCACCGGCCCTGGCCTGGCCATTATCCGGGCCCAGAGTCGGTATCGTTTCACTGATCCCCATCACCATCCCCATCACCATCCCCATCCCCATCCCCTTCGAGACCCCCACCAAATTACCACCCCAGTTGGGGATACACCCCTCGAAACCCGAAGGGAACGACCTATATCCCCCCCATCTAGGGGGGTAAAGGCCCATGCCACGCCGCTGGGGATGGGGATCGGTTAGACGATACTCACCAGAGTCGGCTTCTGTGCCTCCCTGGCCAAGCCAGGAGGCCGCATCGCCAAGACGCTGAAATATGTACGGGCCAGCTTGGGCTCTGGAGCGGCTCCCGTCTTCGGGCCGTGCCTGGGACTCCGGTCGTGGAACCGGTTCGTGGCCAGGGCTCGCCGTGGCCAGAAGCGCCTCTTCGTCCCCGCTTCAGCGTTCCTTCTGGTAGCGCCATGGCCGCATGCACCGGTCCCGGGCCCAGGGTGAGCCTCGCCACCCTCGGCGTGGTGATCGGCTGCCGGCAGCGAGAGGGGGACGTGCACGCTGGTGTCGCAAGTGCGAGATGCGAGAACGCTCGTGGCAGGAGCCTGGTCTCGCGGACGGGGGGGGGTGGGGCCGCGCTCCTGCACGCTCGGGCGCGTCGCCCTGTGTGTGGGATCCCTGGGCTGGCGCCCCCCGAAGCTCCACGCCGCTGCACTCCTGCACGGGCGACCCGGACCTTGCCAGGGGCCTGCTGGCCGCGCGCGCCCAGGCCCGCGCGAGGGACGGCGGCGGGAGCGCGCCGCTGCACAGGTGGTGCGCGCGGCGCGGCGGCCCACAGCTCGCGGGCGTGCAGGCCATCCTCGAGCACAGGGCCGAGGTGGACGCGGGCGACGAGGGGGGCAAGACTTGCGTCGGGCGTGTCCCTCTACAAGGGAGGAACATTCAAAAATAGGCAAATCATAGTATGGGGACGATTTTTTAAAGTATGTATGTTTGAGCATTTCTTGAGCCCTTCTGGAGCACCGAGTCGAGGTTCGAGTAGGGGATCGACTACAGAATTGATTTGGCCACAAGTTGATTTGTGCGTCGAGTCTACCAAACATGCGTAGAATGTTCAGTGGATCTGCGAGTATTCTTCGTATGTTTCTCGTAGGTCCGGCGAGAAAAACAATTCTGGGGTAAATCAATTCTGCAGGCGATCCCCTACTCGAGAGGTGGACGCGGTCGACGAGGGGGGCAAGACAGCTTTGCACTGGGCAGCTGCCTCGGCCTCGACCGACGTGATTCGACTGCTCATCGGCGCCGGTGCGGACGCTTCAAGGCTGGACGCCGAAGGCAAGACTCCGCTCGACTACGCTCGCGGACGTGAAAGGCAAGATCTGTTGCGGGCATTGCCAACAAGCGAACTGTGACGCCATGCCGCCGCGTCACGCTCGCGCGCCGACTCCGTCTGTCTCCTCGACGATATGTCCAGTGTCCAACGAGCTTACATGCGGGATGTTGTAGAGGCCTCCTGCCTGTGTCGCGGATCCGTGACGCTCCAGGACGCTTCGTGCGAATTCGTCCTGTTTACTAGCTTGTGAGCCGTAACTCCAAGAAGAGACAGGAGAGAGGCTGAGGAGGAATGATGCTGCTGCTGCTGCTGCTGCTGATGATGATGATGATGATGATGATGATGATGATGATGATGATGACGGTGATGATGACGATGATGATGATGATGGTGGTGATGGTGGTGATGATGATGAGGATGATGATAATGATGATGATGATGATGAGGAGGGGGAGGAGGAGGAGGAGGAGGAGGAGGAGGAGGAGCAGGAGGAGGAGGAGGATGAAGAGGAGGGGGAGGTTGTTGGCAGTGGCTTTGCAGTATGTCTTGAATGTAATTCTTGCTTCGTGTCCCTCTGTCGAGCTTGTTGGCGGGCTTGTTCACGGACGGGTTGGCTCGATGGTTTGTCGTTGGGCGGGTCGTGGCGTGAATATTTTATGGCATGCTGCTCCTTCCAGTCATGTCTATCTTCTCTTATCGAAGACGCCTACGGCGAATCACCGCCGCCCCCTGCCTTTTGGAATCGCCAAATGTGGCCGAGCGTTGTGTGGCAAGAACTCTGCCAAGCTATCGGGTCATGTGTTCCCCCCAGCCCTTGTAGAAACCCTTCGGGGAACACTCGGGGGAGGATGGCGGAGAAGATCAGGAGGATGAGAAGGCGGAGGAGGAGGAGGACGAGGAGGAGGATGATGAGGAGGAGGAAGAAGAGGAGGCATTTTGGGAGCCTCTGGGGGCACTCTTGAGGCCTCCTTGGGGCTTCCTGGGAGCCTTTTGGATGTATCTTGGGGCCTCCTTGAGCCTCTTGGGGGCCTTTGGGGGCTTCTCGGGGGCCTCGTTGGCCGTCTTGGGGTATTCCTGGCCTGTCTGACTCCGTTGGAAGCCGTCTTCGGGGCCTCTCTGGGCCGACTTGGGGCCCTCTTGGGGTGCTCCAGGGCTGTCTTGGAGGCCATCTTGGGCGTCTTGGAGGCCTCTTGGGCCGTCGTGGAGCCCTCTTGGGGCCGTCTTGGGGGCCTCTTGGGCCGTTCTGGGGCCATCTTGGAAGACCTCGTGGGCGATCTTGGGGCGATCTTCGGGGGCTCTTGAGCCGTCTCGGGTCGTCGAAATATTAAAAAGAAGCAGATGCCCAAATCCTTCAACAACCTCGTACAATCACTGATTGTGGCCTCTTCGGGCCGTCCTGGGGGACCTCTTGGGGGCTCCTGGGGCAGTCTTGGAGACGTCTTCAGGGCTCCTTGGGCCGTCTTGGAGACCTTTTGGGGGCCCCTTGGGCAGTCTTGGGCCATCTTCGAGTCACCTTGGGCCGTCTTGATGGCCTCCTGGCCCGTCGGGCGCCGTCCGGAGCAGTCCTGAGGGCCTCTCTGGGCCGACTTAGGGAACCTCTTGAGGTGCTCCAGGGCTGTCTTGGAAGCCATCTTGGGCGTCTTGGAGGCCTCTTGGGCCGTCGTGGAGCCCCCTTGGGGCCGTCTTGGGGGCCTCTTGGGCCGTTCTGGGGCCATCTTGGTGGCCTCGTGGGCGATCGTGGGGCGACCTTAAGGGGCTCTTGGGCCGTCTCGAGCCGTCGGAGGACCGACGAGAAGCAACTGCCAGGGTCCTTCAAACACCTAAGGGCAATCACTGGTTTTGTGGCGACGGTTGCGCAGTTCGCAGCCACCAAGGGAGCTGCGAGTTGTCAAATGATCCGTTTACTCCGACTCCGTCGTGCCTCCCAGGAGCCCACGAAACTGCCGACAGATGCACAGTTCGCAGCCAGCCAGGGAGCAGCGAGGTCTCACATGATCCGTTTACTCCCCGACTCCGCCGTGCCTCCCAGGAGCCCACGAAAGTGGCGGCAGTTGAACATTTCGCAGCCACCCAGGCAGCTGCGAGGTCTCACCTGATCCTTTTGCTCCCCGACTCCGCCGTGCCTCCCAGGAGCCCACGAAAGTGGCGACAGATGCACAGTTCGCAGCCAGCCAGGGAGCAGCGAAGTCTCAAATGATCCGTTTACTCCTCGACTCCGCCGTGCCTCCCAGGAGCCCACGCAAGTGGCAGCAGTTGCACAGTTCGCAGCCACCCAGGGAGCTGCGAGGTCTCACCTGATCCGTTTACTCCCCGACTCCGCAGTGCCTCCCAGGAGCCCGCGAAAGTGCCGACAGATGCACAGTTCGCAACCTCCCAAGAAGCTGCGAGGTCTCAAATGATCCTTTCACTCCCCGACTCCGCCGTGCCTGCCAGGAGCCCACGAAAGTGGCGACAGATGCAAAGTTCGCAGCCACCCTGGGAGTAGCGCAGGAGGAGGCAGGAGGAGAGAGGAGGAGGGTGGAAAGGAGAAGGCGGGCGACCGCAGTGTTTTATTCAAAACGAGGACCCAACACAGGAGTGTAGGGAAGAGAACAGCCGCCCTTCGTTACGGAAGCTCTTGCATAACCTTCAGGCAAGTGTGCGCTGCGCTGAGGCGAGGGCTACGCTATGAACACAGTACAGGTTGCAAGCTGAATCAAGCTTAAAGATCATAAGTGGTGAAGGAGTCTCAGACGAAACGCCTGGCCTGCCCTACTAACATGTCTCGGGGTGCGACAGGGAGGAAGTACTTCCAAGGAAAAGGGGTAGACGAGGAGGGGCAAAGGGAGGATGACCAGGAGGAGTAGGAATAGGAGTAGGAGTAGGATTAGGAGTCAAGCTAGCCAGCTCGAGCGAGTCAAGCATGGCATGCCCAGTCCCACCCGCCCTCCCACAACATAAGAAGCAAAGCTGGCACAACTGGGGGCCGAAGTCACACCGGCCAGCCGGTTTGGTACAGCTGATGCGGCCGCGATGGCGGTTTCGACATGGGAAGCTGCATCCCATTCCTGCCAAGCATCCCATTCCTGCCAAGCATTTTGCGACGTGGACGACAGGACGTCCATGCTGAGAGGAAAAACGTTGGTGCGCGGCGCCGAGGCGAGAGCGACATGTCACCCCTTCGCGCGGGGTGTGCGCCGCGTCCCATTCCTGCCACGCATTTTGCGACGTGACGACAGCACGACCATGTTGACAAGAAAAACAAAAACTGTGTATTGTCTTTTGCAGATTAGAATGGGACGGATTGGATGGGCGGGCGCGGGGTGTGCGCCGCGTCCCATTCCTGCCATGCATTTTGCGACGTGGACGACAGGACGTCCATGCGACGGTGCCAATGACGGCGACGACTCTAGAAGGATTTGAGCATGCGCTCGCGGCGACGCGCGCGCATGTCGCCCGCGTGGTATTTTTTGCACAGGATTCGCGGCCTGGGTGCATGACAGAGCATCGCGAGTGCACCGCGCGATGACGTGAAATCGCTGGATTTGACAGAATTCTTAAGATTCCTATGGTTTTCCTATGATTTCAGCAAGAGAGCCCGAGCAGGAAATTTGTAGATTGTTTGTGGAAAAGCATTGGGTTTTTGATGTTTTTATGTTGACATGCTTGCAAACACACGGTGTTCGGTAGGATTCTGACATGAACGCGCGCGTGTGCTCTTTGTGGTTTTTTTTTTGCAATGGATTATCGCCGTGAACGACAGGGCGTCCATGTCGAGAGGAAAAAATAAGAAACATGTTGATTGTGTATTGTTTTTTACAGGTTAGGATGGGACCACCCGGATGCGGCCCCTATCGGCCGGCCTGGGGGGGGAGTAGGAGTATATTCTAATAGGGAATAAGGATAGGAGTAGGAGCAGGAGCATGAGCAGGAGCAGAAGGAGGAGGAGGAGGAGGAGGAGGAGGAGGAGGAGGAGGAGGAGGAGGAGGGAGGAGGAGGAGGAGGAGGAGGAGGAGGAGTGCGAGGCTGATGAGGAGGCCCAGCCAGTGGCGGCACGATCAGCTCACCGAATCCAGGAAGGACCCCGACCTGGGGGACGTCAACCTGGACGCACACCTGGGCAAGATCGTCCCCAAGCGCGCCGCCCCCCCGCCCGCGCCGGGCCTCTTGAAGTTTGGATCTGTTTTCGGAAGTTTTCCTCAGTTGTCGGGACCCGGGGGGATCGGCGGGATGGCGACGTCGGCAGGGGTGGCCGTTCTCCTGATTCCCGACGACTGTCTTTTTTTCCGGACGGGGACGATTGCCACTTCCCCCCGTGGAGGGCGGGACGCTCGAGGGAAAGTTGCCGGGACCCCGGGCGCTTGCCATCACGTGCGCCTCGTCGAGGGAGGTCTCTGGGGAGTTGTCGGAGTCGTGCCGGACGGCCGCCGGGGGCTCGAACGGCCGCCGGAGGCTCGAGCTGCGGCCCGAGAGCCAGGCAGCGGAAGGTCAGGGGCAGCGCTTCGGAGAGACAGGCTTCAGTCGGGCCTGTCCCTGCACAGGAGGAATACTCAAAAATGGTGAAACAAATATCTGGGGACTTCTTTAACATTAAACAAACAACATTGTATTGAACTATTTCTGAGTTTTTTGTTTTGTTGTTTGAAGGCTTCCTCCCAAATCCCCTTGTAGGGGGACGCGCCCGACCTAAAAGTAGGCTCAGGGCGGGGTACATCGACCACCGCTCGCTGATGGATCGCCGATCTGGGGCCTCGTGGCCCTCCCCGCCCAGGAGCGTGGGAACTCGCCATCGGGGGCTCGTCGCCGATCCATCGGCGATGTATCGCCGAATGCAGCTCGACGTTTCCCCGTGGGCCGCCCCCCCCACCCCCCCTTCAACTGCCGTTGCACCTCAGGGGCGGGCGGGGGGGGATTCAGCTGGGGCGGGGGCCGAGGGGCCTCGGTTCACTCGGCTGCCGACCGTCCTCCTCCTCCTCTTCCTCCTCCTCCTCCTCTTCCTCCTCCTCCTCGTCCTCCCCCTTCTCGTCCCCCCCCCCGTCCCTCTCTTCCTGCCTCCGTTTCCCTCCTCCTCCTCCTCCTCCTCCTCTTCCTTCTCTTCCTTCTCCTCCTCCTCCTCCTCCTCCTCCTCCTCCTCCTCCTCCTCGTGCCCAGCACGTTGGTGAATGACGTGACGACGATCAGTTGATTTCAAGAAGAAGCCGCGCTGCGTCGCCACGCGCAGGCTGCTGATGCAGAGCTCAGCGGAGTTCGGTTGCCAGACAACGTGCTCGCACGTTATCTAGAGGATGGTAGGATGGTGCGAATTTGGCGGCGCAAAATAAGATCAACGCGCGCGCCCTCGCTGAAAGACGGGCACATCGCAAATCTATGTGAGTGGCGCTCGTGAAGCTAGACGTCCGGGAGGGGGGGGCCATTCCGACGGGCGCCCAGAACAGGACTGGCTATGCAAAGACCTTCGTCGAGACTCTCTCCGAGAAGGCCGCCGCGGAGGAGCCCCCACCTTCTGGCCCCCCTGTCGACGTGGGCTCTCGCTTCGCGGGGCCGCCCGGCGACGCCTTCGAGTTGCCGGGCGCCGACGCCGAGGCTTTCCTGGCGGCGCTGGAGGGGCGGGGGCTTCCCGGAGAGGAGCGGGCGGCGGTCTTGTCAGCAGTGATCGGGGGCAAGCTGGGCAAGCAGAAGTGTTGGGCGTGGGCAGAGGCCCGAGAGCCGATGGCGTCGCGGCGGTCAGGGTGGATTGTTCGACAAGGAAAGGGCGGCCAGGCGGGGTCGCCGCCGCGTCGCGCCCGGTGACCTGCAGCGTCGCTCGCGCTGTGCGAATTGCGCGGGGGAGGGGCGTCGGGCCGAGTCGCGCGAGAAGCCCTGCCGCTCGAAGCCATGCAGGCTGGAAGCGGACATGAAAGGCGGGGCCCCCTCTTTCGCCCGCGACGCCGACGACGAGGGAGACCCTGGCTTCGAGAGGCCTCTGAGCATCGTCGGCCTGGTGGAGGTGGCGACGGAGAGCGGAAGGGTCCTCGCCGCGCGGGCGGCCAAGGAGCGGGCCAGCCTCGTCTGGGGCACGAAGGGGGCGGCCAACATCTGTGCGGGGCGCGCGGGGCCATGCGCGCGGGGGCGCGGCGGCGGGGCGCGCCTTCATTGGTCGGGGGGATCTTGACATCTCGGTTTATGATGTTCCAGCCTTCGTCCGCCTTGATTGCCAGAATGAATTTCGAGCGTCGGGAAAAACACCCCAAAACTTAAGGGTTTTCACGTGTCGGGCCCTGGGAGACACTGCTTCGACACTGTTTCGACACTCCTTCGACACCCTTTCGACGCTTTTCTGGGTGCTCGAAATTATTTCTGGGGTGTGGTCCTTAAGTACGATGGGAGCAACATAATCTTGGTGCTGGCGTTCAAGCAGAAGGGCCTTCGCGCGCGCGGTGCTCGGCGAGGTGGCGGGGCAGACCGACAGCGGCACTGGCGGGGGAACGGGGCCGATTGGACGCGCTTGTGCTCCAGTGTCGCTGGCGGGCCATGGGTTCATGGAGTTTCTGGCGGCACCCCGTCGTTCTCCTCCGTTGCTTCGTGCGGTTCCTGGAAATAGTTGGGCCTGTGATCGGCCTGAAAGCCGGCGCCCTGCAGGTCGAAGACTTCGGCGAGAGGGTGATCCGACCGCTGTGCTGGCTCCCCATCGGGGCACCGCGTGGTCAGCTCCATTTTTTGCGACCTGGCCCACTTCGAGGTTTCCTGGAGCGCGCGCAAGTTGGTGCCGCAGCAATGCTTCCTGCGGGTCAAGGGCGTTTCCGCTCGGGTGGACCTGAGGGCGGGGGGTAGTTGCTGCCGGGCAGCGGGGGGCGTTTCCGCGCTTTCAGGAGTCGGGCTAGTAGTTTAGTTATCCTCTCCGTCTCTCCTCTCCTCTCCGAGCCTCCGAGCCCCTTGCGCCCGGGCCGTCTCGGGAGGTTTCTGAACTTGGGGGCAGCGGGCCAAGCTGCGACGGATCCATAGCTCGCCCCGGTCATATCAACGCCTCCGCTTGCTCCTCCCAGCTTTCGAACTGCAAGATGGCGGCGAGGCCGACCGAGCGCGCGATCGGCAATGGGGCCGCTTCTAAGAGTCTGTCGGCGAGCCCGGGCCGACGCTTGGAGGCGGTCTTAGATGACTCGCCCAGCGACCGCGGCAGCGCGCGGGAGTAGCTGGGCGCCGTGGTGGACGAAGGACAGGCGGGCGAGATCCTGGCCCAGGGGGCGCTGAGTCCCCGTGAGCTGAGCATGTTTCTCGACGGGGAGCTGTGCCTCGAGCCCGCCCAGATGCGCTGGGGGCCAGCCGCCCTGAAACATCATGGGGGCGGCCGGCGCGGCCCGGGCGATGCGCCGAGTAGCGGGCGTGGCCCTTCGCATCGACGGCTGCCCCCGCCCTCTCTGGGCGCCGTCGTTCGAGGCGAATGGCCGCGCGACCTGCGCCCGCTGCCGGGCTCGCAGCGCTCGCGTCGCATTCCGCCGCGAGACGGAGCAGGAGAAGCCCGAGTCGACCACGCAGTATCTCGCGAAGCAGAAGGGTGTCGACATGCGTCGCCAGGCGAGGCAGATGGTGGCGAAGCAGCTCGAGATCTTTGCGCAGGATCTCGGTTTCGCTGGCGGGGCCGACCCGTGGGCCTGTTAAGGCCCAGTCATGCGACCCCCCCATTGAAGTTTCGTTCAGTGCGTCGCCCGTGCGTCGCCCGTGCGCCCGCCCTGGTCTACGCCTCTGTCCCGAACCCCGGCCTCCCAGAGTGCGCGGGCGACATGCGGCGCGACTTCGGAATTTCGCTGGCGACAAAGGTTTCCGACGCCGGTGCGCCAGCAGGCCACTCTGGCGGTCGCGGCGCACTCTAGTCCACCAACGCGTTCTGTTTCCCATTCGGCGCGAGAGGATAATTCGCTGGTGAGTATTTTCGGGGGGCGCCAACCGTTGCTGAGGACGAAGACGCCTCGCGTTGATTGGGGGCTGTGCGTGTCGCGCCACGGTGGGGGCGACGTCGCGTCGCGCGACGCGGCGCCACTTCGCCCCGCCGCATCGCGCCCCGCACCCCCAGGTCGTTTCGCGCCAATCCTCCTGCCCCTCCCCCTCTTCCTTCCTCTTCCCCTCGTCCAGCGCGCTGCGTGTTTTGTCTCGTGTGCGAAGTTGGTATTCAATTTTTTTTGGTGTCGGGCTGCCGCCCTGCCCCCTTCCCTGTCCCACACCCCGTTGTCCTTCCACCCTCCTGGATCTTCCCTCTCGCCCTCCTCGCTCCCGCCGCCCCCCTTCGATCGCCTTCCATCGCTCCCGCCGCCGCTGCGCCGCCCCCGCGCGCCCACTCCTCGCCCGTCCGTTCCCTTTTCCGCCCGCCCTTCCCTCGCCTCGCTTCCCTCCTCTTCCCCCCGGCCAATGCATCGGCGGGCGAGACCTCGCCAAATTGCTTCAGCGACGAACCGATGTTCCAATTTTGACAGGGCGCGCGCTTGAAATCGATTGCTTACTCCGTGCGCGCTGCATCTCCATGTCGTCTATGGGCCTCTTTGCGTTCGTAATTCTCACGTGCGTGTCTCGCCATTTTTTTTGTGATTGTCGCGCGCATCCCTCGATTGTTTCGCCGGCTGGCCGTGCAGTTCACGCGCCGTCAGAAGTCCACGGCGCCCCTCGAGCGATTCGCGCGCGACCTGCGCGCGACGCGCGAACGACCCGAGCGACGCGCGCGCGACGCGCGCGCGATGCACCCCGACCCGCGCGCGACGCACCCTTGCTGGCGCGCGGCGCGCGAACGACCCGCGCGACGCACGCGCCACCACGCGCGCGAAGCAAGCGCGACGCACCCGCGACGCAGCCGCGACCTTGCCCGCCCCTAGCATTTCTCCGAACAGCAATGCGCAACGGCCGTCGGCCCGCCGTGCTTGCGCTGTTCACAAGCGGCGGCGGCTACGTCCTCCACTGCGCCAGGAAGGGCGGTGCTTGCCGCGAGCGGCTCCCCCGCTTTCCGCGAATGGCCCCGCCGCTGGCGGGGCGGGTGGGGTGGGGGGGTCAGGACGCGAGGAGAAAAGAAGGGGGGGGGGGGGGGGGGGGGGGCAGGGGCGCGACGCGGGCGCGGCGGCAAGGGCGGCCCGGCAGGGGAATGGGGGGGAGAGGGGGGGGGACGGAGTGGGCGGGTGCTTCTGTGATAGTCATGTTGGTGGTCATGGTCGCGGTCGCGTTTGTCGCCTTGGTCGCGCTGGCGGTGGTCGCGCTGCTGGTGGCGGGCGGGCTGGTGGCGGTCACGTCGGTGATCGTGCTGGTGTCGGTCGTTGTGGTGGTCGCGAGAAGCGTGGTGGTCGTGGTGGTGGTGGCGGTGCATGGTGGCGGTCGTAATCGCCGCGAGGGACATGGTTGTGGTCGCATCCGCTTGTGGTGATCGTGGCGGGGGTCGTTCTGGCGCTGGCGGCGGTCGCGGCGGCTGTGGCGGCGGCTGCGGGGACCTGCTGGCCTGGCGCCGGAGTGCGTTCAGCAGCATCGCGGCACTTGTAATGTTAGCGGGATTTGCTGATCTGCCGAGGTGGCCCAGCGGCCGCCCTCTTCTCGCCGAGAGGGCCGCAGCGTGGGCGACTTTCTTGTTCCCGAAGGCGACCGGCCTTTTCGGCGGCCGCGGAGCCGGCGACGCGCGTGCGATCCGCCCTGTGGGCGCCCGCCGCGCTGGCGACGTACTCGCCAAATTGCCCCCCTGCGAGGCCGACGTGCACGTTCGAGAGGGCGGCTTGCCTTTTCGGCGGCCGACGCACAGGCGGCGCACGGGCGACGAACGCGCGACGCACCCCTTGTCGCGAAGGGGGCGGGGTCAGCACGCTGGTCGGTTAACTGGGCCTTGACGCGTGGGCCCCAGCCCCGAGTGCTCCTCCGGTCCGACGTGCGCCGGGCCCGGTCGCGGAGCAGCAGTGCGAAGTGGCCGGGAGCGGGATCACAATGCGCATCGAACGGGGCGCGCGGGCCGGGGTCGAGATGCCGGACAAAATCGAGGGGCGCGTCTCTTTCGGGTTTCTTCCTTTGCGCATGGAGGCCGTCGTGGCTCCCGAGAATTATTGGGGCTCGCCGCCCTCGGGGGCGTGGCGCAAGATGATTCGCGAGGAGATGATGGGGGCACTCGGCGACGTGGAGGCGAGCCGCGAATCGCAGAGGATCCAGAACGAGCGCGCTTGGGAGAGCGTCAACCAGCCACTGGCCAAGCTGCGCCAGGCGATGTCGGGGGAGGAGCTTCTGCACATCGCCATCTGCGGCGTAGGGTGCGGGCGCGGCCAGCTCGGGCGGGCCGGGCGTTTCGACGCAGACTTACGCATTTGTTCACGTATTCGCGGATGGAGGGCGGGCCGATTTCAAAATGTTGTTTTCGCCTTGGCGTTGCGCGCGTTCGTTCCGATAACTTGCAGAAGTTTCGCGGATGCATGGCGACTCCTTTTTCAAGCTGTGTTTCTAACGTTAGCGCCGCTTCGTCTTAAACAATTGAGAGCTTCACACATGCAGGGCTGCTTTTCTATAAAAAGCTGGTCTTTTCACCTTAGCGCCGCGCGCATGTTTTAACCGTTCACAGCCGCTTGATTGGTTCGTATGGTTGACGTTCCAGAAATTGCGAGCTGGTGCGATGTAGGACTGTCAGGGCGCAGTAGTCACGTTTATTCGCGAACTCCTGCAAACGGCGTTTTTTAGTGCGATTCAGGCTCCTCGTCCTCCTCCCCCCTCCCTTCGCCATGGCGATGCGAAGCGGGTGGTTGCGCTATCTTCTAACAGCGCGGCTTGCTGTGGACGGACGTGGCACTTGACATCGAGTCCTGCCACGGGCAACCTCAGGAGTTCCCGACTTTTGGAGCCCATCGCAGCTCCTTGCGCTCCTCAAGCCGCCCGGGCGGGCCCCTGCCTCTGCGAGCCGGCGGGCCGCCTCGTCATCGCGACTGGGTGTTGCGTGGCGCTCCGCCTGCGGAGCGGGGCTGCCTGCCTGGTCGAGGAGGACCCGACCCACTACACAGATGCGGAAAGCCTGTTCGACGCGCCCGCGCCCTGGCGTCTTTCGGCCCTGGCTGCCTTATAAGGGGGGGCTGCTGGGGCCTGCTGGGGGTCCCTGCGGCGCGGGGCCTTCTATTTTTTGAGCAGAGTTTTTCTTCGTGGCCCCCCCTTCGAGCAGAGGGGCCCCGCAAGCCTCAAGGCTCCATTGTGCTCAGAGAGCTGTGGACGTCTTCTCCGCATAGTCCCGCATAGTACCACCCGGAGCGCTTGGTCTGCGTGTCGTGGCTGCTGCAGCAGCGCGGCTCGGTGCTGCGGAGGCGCCGGGAGGTGCGGGAGGAGGCCTTCGTGCCCGCCGAAGAACTCCGCGCCGTTCGGGAAGCGGGCGGTTGAGGAGGACTGATTGACAAGGCGGCGCCGACTATCGCCATCTCTTCAGTTGGGACACGCCTGAGCACCCCGACCCCATGGCGTTGCAGTTGAATTTGATAATGGGCGCACTGGGGCAAGAACGCCGAAAGTACTCCAGGTCCCGTGGTTCCTTCAATTGGTTCAGCGAAATGGGCGTGTCTGGGTCTGTCCTTCGCTGCTGCTGTGCGACCCCGACAAGGCCGAGGAGGAGGAGAAGAACGCCGCACTGCGGGAAGGCAAGAGCAAACTGCATGCCCAAAAGGCCGCGGACGAGGCCAAGCGCGCACTCGCTGAGCAGGCGGCGTTCAAACACGCCCTGTGGTATGCACACCAGGTCACCATTGTCTTTCTGCTGACCCAGCACCCCCGGGAGCGCGGACTCGCCCGCGAGTGCGGCTACGACCAGTCGGGCTGGACAAAGTACGAGCGGTGTTCCGCGGAGCAGAATGCGCAGGTGTTTCGCTATTCTGCGAATTGGTCCGCGGTGGCCGACCTGGGACAGGGGGTGGGGGCGCCAGCTGCTGGCAGGGGGTGGCCAGTGGGTCCTGGCGAGTTTAACCAGCTCGCTGAGGGCATGACCTCCACCAGCGGTACGGACCAGAAGGTGGTTAAGGCGATCTTTCGCCGGATGAGCCGCGCGCGGCTGGGCGGCCTGACGAGGCTCGATTTCCACGTACTGCCGCCCCCGACCCCCGAGCAGGCCGCGGGGCTCTGCGGCTGCCTGCGGCTGTGCGCCCGCCTGGAGACGCTGGACCTGGTGAGCTGCAATATCGGCCCCACGGGCGCCCAGGCACTGGCGCGGGCGCTGCCCTCAATGCCCACCTCGCGGACGTTGTTCATGAAGAGCGACGCCCTCGGCGCCGCGGGCGACCGGGCGCTGGCGGGGGCGCTGCCCTCCGCGCCGGGCCTGGAGAGGCTCGGCCTGGAGGACAGCGGCATCGGCGGCGACGGGGCGGAGGCGCTGTGCAGAGCAACGCCCTCGGCGACGCGGGCGCCCGGGCGAGTGCGGGGGCGTTGCCCTCCGCGCTTGGCCTGGAGAGGCTATGCCTGGACGGGAGCGGCATCGGCGGGGAAGGGGCGGAGGTGGCTCTGCGGGCCTCCTTGGGCGGCCGGCACCCGGCTGTCTTGTTGCTCTGAGCTGGGGGCGCGGCCCGTGGGTGCCAAGGAGAGGCGGCGGGGGGCTTGCGGGTGGTGCTCGGCCGGTATGGCTGGCCACTTGCTGTGCTGTCCCAAAACCGTTTCGCTTGGGCTTCGGCCTTATACTCAGATGGAGGGTCATGGCAGGAGGAGGAGGAGTAGGAGGAGTAGGAGGAGGAGGAAGAGGAGGAGGAGAAGGAGGAGGAGGAGGAGGAGGAGGGAGGAGGACGACTCCCAGCTCTGTCTGCGTAGATCGCCAATCCAGCCCTCTCTCTGACACCGGCGATCTGTCGTTTTCCTTCGTAAGCGATTGCCGCTATAAAGGCAGCTCCCATCTTCCCAACACTGTCCGCCGCCGTTCTTGTTGAGTGCGAACAAAGTGCCATGGGCTTTTGAGGTGCGCCGCGAGTGCCTCGCAGCTACACGTTGTCAGCCACTCAATATTCTCTGCTGCACCAGTTGTTCCTCTCGAGCTCGGAGCTAAACATGCGTAAGTATCACCTGAGTACCATTTGACAGTCCAAACGGCTCGACTGGGGGGAACTAGCTCGTGGTGGTCGGTGTACGCCTCGCTCCCCGCTCACCGATCCCCAACGCTGAGGTACCACGTCTTCCAGGAAATCTTCCACATCACTGTGTGCTCGTTCTGGCTGTTCATGGCACGCCATGGGGGTACAATCTCAGAGCGTAGTTGGTCTCTTCCGCTTGCCTTGTTTGTATTGTTTCCCTCCACCTCTAAGTCTATCGTTCTCCCTATCTCCCTCTCTTTCTTTTGTATTCCCCAGCATGTTGTTCTCTGTCTCTCCTTGCTCTCCCTCCTCTCCCTCTCTCTCTCGCTATATCTCTCCCTCTCTATATATAATTCTATATAGATATATTGCTCTTTCCCTACCTTGTTTTTTCCATGTTTGTTTGTTCTCTCTCTCTCTCTCTTTCTTTATCCATCTATATATATAGATATATGTTGATGTACTCCATTGGTGTTGGGTCATGCTCATCTGCATCGCATTGCCAAGCACAAGCGTTATCGCCTTCCCTCTCTGTCTCTCACTCGCGGTTTATATAAACCTTATTCTATCCTTACTTCTGTTTCGTCGCCTCTCTCTCTCTGCCCCCCGCCCTCATTGCCATACCTCGTTCGCATTCTGTGTTAGTTGCTCACTGGCTTCCTGCCTGCACTTCGCGCTCGCAGTGTCATACAGGGTGTCACTTGGATCTCGACCTCGCATCCCGACCCACTGGAGAGACCAGGGGCCACGGCTGTCAGCTGTCAGCGATGCAGATTGCCTTAGAAGTTCGGAGGGGGCGTGCAACCGATCCGTTCCGCAGGTCGCATCCATTCCGCTGGCAGTGGCCCTCATGGACGGGGAGATCACGCATGCGCACGTGTTGCAGGCAGGTCGCAACAGCGGCAGAGCATGCGAGTTCAGGGAAGAGGACGTCGCGGCAAGCAGTCTTTGGAGCGGCGCTTGGCCCCAAGCGTTTGAACGCTCGTTGAGGCGATCCAGACTGAGCTCGAAATGACGTTGGGGCGCTGGCTGCGCGCGGGTGTTTCGAGATATGCATATTTGAAAATATCCTCTTTGATCTTGAAAGTGGAGGGCATGCGTCTGGGCCCCAGGACACCGCGGGCATAACGTGAATGCGGATGTACATGCTGCGAAGCCTGTATCTATAAAAACGTGCTGAGCGTGTTGGGAGGTGGAGGGCGTGACAGCAAGTGGGACGATTAAGTCTCTCAGTCAATTAATGTGCGTGTCAACCAGCCAGTGCCAGGTAGTCAGCTGTGCAGCCCACGCATGAGTATATAAGCCAATCAGCCAGTCAGCGAGTCAGACACAAGGTCAGCCAGTGCTCTGCTCATTGCAGGAGCAGCATTGAAAGAGAAAAGAATCAGAGAGATGAGGGGGGACACGTGGAAGCAAGGAAATACGGAGGAGATCGGAGGGAAGCAACGTGGAACACAGCGGGAGGGCGAATGCTTAAACATGCGTTGGGGTGGGAGTCTCGAGACGGTGCCTGTGGAATAGACGAAGTTGGCCAACTCGGGACCTCTCGAGACGGTGCCTGTGGAATAGACGAAGTTGGCCAACTCGGGACCGCTCCAGAGAATTGGGTGTGATAGCAGGGCTTTGAGACTGGACCTCATCGGATGTAGTCTTGTGTTTCGCTTCCCCCCGTGCATGCTCCGTTGCCTCGGTGGAGCGACTCGTTCGGCAGCATCTCCCGGGAGCCCGGTATGTCTTCGCAGTTCTGTCTCTAGGGTGCACTCGCGTGCGCTGGCCTTCTGGTAGTCAACGAGAAGGCGCAGATCTTGCTGCGACTCGCACCGATTTAGCGTCGACTGGTGTCGATGCGTCGATTCGCATCGGTCAGCGTCGATTCGCAAGAGCCAGCAAGATTGCACGGGAGGCTCCTGTGAGTTGTCTCAGACGGCTCGAGCGTGTGACCTGCGCTCACGTTGGCATGGTGCACGTGAGACGCAGGTACTCGCATGCACGTGCGCTTGAAGACGTAGCAGTCTCTGCGTGTGCGTCCGCCCCTGGCGTGCAGTGAAGTTTCTCGATGTTGGATGTTATTGGGCAGGTCGGCCACACTGTCGCTTTCCGATGAGGTTCTCGGCCGCCTCTCTGGCCACAGCATCCTTTGCCGTGGATTCTGCTTTATTTCGTCTGAGTGCCATTTCGTCCGCTTCATTCCGTGGGTTTTGATTCGTCCACTTAGGTTCGTCCGCCTCGGTTCACCCGCTTCGGCTCGCCCAGTTTCAACACTCACCCGGGCTTCGAAGGAGTACGAACGCGCAAGGAGGACGAACACGCACGAACAATGATCGTTGTACATCTGGTGCTTACCCACCTGCCCTCCCCATCGCTGTACATCATTGTACATTTCTCTTTTCGGTCGCTTCACCGCGGACGTGTCCAAGGTGAATTACTCCAGCACACCTCTCGCACGAGAGCGGCACGACCGATGACGAACCGGAAGAGGACGGAACCGCAGCCAGCGAGAGGCGAACGCCCACCGTGCCGCGCGAGGGCGCGCCTGGGGCTGCTGATCTCGGCGCGGCTCGCGGCGCGGCGCGGCTCGGCGCGGCCTGGCAGCCCCTCGGGCCCTGCGCCATCGAGAGTGAAGGAGCCCTTGACCCTAAGCTTGAGTCGGGCCTGTCCCTCTACATGGAGAGGATTCAACAATAGTTCAAAAATAGTAAGGGGAGGATTTTTGCACTACTTTTGGCCACTTGGGGGTATTGCTATGTTGTTCGCCCAAAATCCGCCGGTGGGGGGACGCGCCCGACCTAACCCTAAGCGCACAAGGAAGACGTAGCCTCACTTAGGTCACTTAGGTCCCCGCGCATGCATTCGGGATAACAGATGTGGTTGGTTTGCTTTGATGCGTCTGCAGGAAAGAGACCCCTTGCCCCCAGTATTGTGGGTCTCTTGACTCAGGTCCGTTCCCAAAGGGTTACGGCTTCTTCACTTGCTGATCACCGTGGAGCCCGCCGCCTCCGCCATTTGAGTTCAGGTCGGAGCCGCCGAAGCTGCGGGCCGACGACGACGACGCCGACGACGACGCCGACAACAACGACGATGACGACGCCGACGCCGACGACGGCGCCGACGCCGACGACGACGACGCCGACGACGACGCCGACGCCGACGCCGACGCTGACGCCGACGACGACGACGACGGCGACGACGACGCCGACGACGAGGCCATGCGTAGCGAGAGGACTTTGGGGAGCGAGCGGACAGCACTGCCAGGCCACCGTCCTGTTCGTCCTCGTGGTGGTCGGCCTCCTGATGTGCGTCAGCGTGACGCAGTTCAAGTCTATTCACTGGGAGGGCGCCAGGCGCGTTGATCGGACAACGAAAAACTGTACCAACATGCACTTTCGACGGTCCGCGCGGATCTCTTGGATCGGCGCCTCCGGCGCCGCCCTTGGCGCCCACCTCGCGCCATGGAGGGGGCCCCAACGCCGACCCAAGAACTCCGCGCGGACCTCCGACAGTTTACGTTTCTGTTTTCGGTTTGGTTTTCATGGCTGACGCCGTGGATGCTTGCCAGCCGTCCCGCTCTCCTCGTCCTCTCTGTCTCGGGGCCACCGCGTGCCCACCTCACCCGCCTCCCTCCCTTTGTCCACCTTCCCTCCCCGTCCACTCCACCCCTCGAGCCCAGACGTCCGACGGTGGTACGCTTTGGAATGCGTGGCTATCCCGAGGTCCCGAGCCCCTTCTCCCCTGGGCCAGCTTCTCGCCCAGGATCGGATTCTGATGGCCCTGCGGTCCGATGGAAAGGGCCCAGGCAGCCGACACCGAGGAACAGAAGCGTCGGGACCGAGCAGCAGCATGTCAGCGGAGATCTGGGCCCCCCCTCCCCTCCTGCCGCTCCTCCTCCCCGTCGGTCTCCATCTGCGGTGGCAGTCGCCGCGCGCTCCCTGAGTCGGCGGAGCGCCGGGGGGGGCAAGCGAGAGGGCGCATGCGGGGGCAGGCCTTTGCAGGAGGCTGCGGGGCTTCTCGGAAGTCTTGCGGCCCCTGAGAAGCCGTTTGTATCTTCGGAGGAGCTTCCGAGCCTTCTGAAGAGGCCCGCCCCCTCTGCTTTCCCCCCTGGGCTCGCCGCCGATTGAGGCGCCCCCCCTACGCTTACTCCCCGGAGGAGCCCGGCCGCAGCCTTGCATCGGCGTTTCCGGAGCCTTGAGACGGGGGTCGATGCAAACGGGGGTCAGCCAGGACGCCGGATCTTACAGGATCCTGCAGAGCCAGGGCTGCACTGACCCGGGCTAGGGCGCAGAATCCTGCAGGATCTTGCGCAGACTGTCTGACCTGGGTTTGCGTTGACCTGGGTCAGTGCGTCCCCGAGCGTTGCGTAATGGGGGACGATAAGAGGGGGGTGAAGACAGGTGTGCTCTTTGTACCCTAAACGGGCCCTCAACGGGCCCTCTGGGGCCAAACAGAGGCCCGAAAGGTGCACGTTTCTCTCCCGCCCATTCCCAGACACCCTGGCGTCATGATTCTGTCAGGAAGTCGATCACCAGAGGGCTCGACCCATTCCCTGGGGCCGGGTTTTCCTCCTGAGTCGTTTTTCTAACGCCCCCAAGGCCCAGCAAGGGCCCCCAGAGGCAAATGATAGGGTGAAACCTCCCGTCGTCATTTTTCATGACCCGAGGGAGTCTGGGCTCCTTCACCAGCCACCCCCTGCCTCGCAAAGGAAGGGGGGGAGCTTCTGAAGCCCCACCCCCGTTCGAAAGGGCAGCCCGGGCTAACCCTGGGAGCCTACATGCTACATGGGGGAGGAGGTCTAGCTACATGGGGGAGGGAGCGCGGAGGGGGCCGCGCTTCGCGACCTGCGCCCGAGAACACTTCGGTGGATGGACAAGAGAGTGTTTTTGCTACCCTCGGGGCCACGACGTGACGTGCGTCATGCCCCCCCCATCCCCCCCCCATCCCCCCCATCGAACGCCCCCCGCCCCCCCCTCGCTCCAGTGCGCCCCCGGCGCTGCCGCAGTGCGTCGGGCACCACGGTCTCCGGTACGCGACCCACACGGCGGGAGGAGGGCGTTGCCTTATGCCCCCCCCTCTCCGCCCCCCTTTAACCAGAGCGCCCGTTATCGCAGCGAATAAGAAAATACTCTCCAACGTCGCCGCCGCCGCTGCCGCCGCTGCCGCCGCTGCCGCCGCCGCCGCCCGTCGTCGTCGTCGTCGTCGTCGTCGCCGTCGCCGCCGTCGTCGTCGTCGGAGGAGGAGGAGGAGGCAGCGGCGTCGTCGTCGGAGGCAGCGGCGTCGGCGTCGGCGTCGGCGTCGGCGTCGGCGTCGGCGTCGGCGTTGGCGTTGGCGTTGGCGTCGTCGTCCACGCCCATCGCGCCAAAACAACGCTGCGACGAAGTGCATTCAAGACATCGATCGCCTCTAGGCCTCCCAGATGGGGTCCGAGTTGATGGGATTGGAGGATCGCGCCGCATCGCTGATACATCGACGATGCGGTTCGATGTGGAGCCCGATTTTCTCCGCGCTGGCGTCGCCAACACACTGCCGACGTCGCTGATGCATTGTCGATGCATAGTCGATGCATCGGCGATGCATCGGCGATGCGGCGCGATCCTCCGACCCCATCTATTCGGATCTCTTTTTTCAGGCCTCTATAAACAGATAGCGCTTTTTATTCCCAGGCGATCACGGGCGTTGACTGGGGGAGGGAGGGGGGGTTGGGTCACCACCCACCAAGCCACCCCAACCCAACCCGAAGGCTCAGATTTACCCTCGATTTCTAGTGGGGGGGGGGTCGGGGAACATCGAGAAAACACGCAGGGAACCCGTACCCCCCCCAACCCGAAATTCGGGTCTTCGGGTTGGGTTGGGGTGGTCTGGTAGGTAGTCAGTGGGGGGCGGCAGCGTCACGTTTCGCGCCAGCGCCGTCTGGGCATGTTTAGGAGTAGCCAGAGATCAGTCGTCGGAGGTCCGCACGAGCAGTGACGCTGCCCGAAGAGCGGCAGGGCGGGGGGGGCCGGGGTCGGTCACGGTCGCTGTCGCGAAAGACGAAAGCACGCTTTCAAACGTGTCCACGCCCATCGCGCCAACACGCTCTATTTGTTCTGGTTTGTGAACTATGTCATCCAGAGTTTCAGCACCCACACGGTCTGAGGCCACGGCCTCTTGCGCCTTGCCCAAAGGGCACGGGCACCCCCGGTGCCCGGAACCGGCGCCTCCGCTCCGCTCCGCTCTACGCCCATCGCGCCAACACAGTGTTACGACGAAGTGCATCCAACTATTCGATACTCCTTGCCCCCCCACCCCAAAGTTGGCAGTGTTGCGCGCGAGGCGGCTCGCGGAGGACAAACTGTGGGCACTTCAACTTTGGGCTTGTGGGTGGGGGGCGGGGCATAAGTTGTGCGAGATGTCATGCAACACCGCGTGATCCTGTCGTCGTGCCTTGGATGTGGTCACGTTTTGTCCAGCCACCGTTGCTCCCCAGACCCCCATGGCAAGCTGTGAACAAGTCACGGCGCGAGGATGTTGGCCATTTTCGGCCTCCAGGGGCCCTCGCCGGGCCCTAGGACCGTCAGAAGAAGGCTCGGGACGGGAAGCCAAACCCCAGGGGGCGGGTCAACGCTGGTCACCCGCCCTAGTGGTCTAGTGCAGACCCGCCCTAGTGGTATAGTGTGGAAAATAGAAAACTCTCCACGCGCGTATCCGCGTGGAGAGTTTTCTATTTTCCACACTCTCCAGTCATCCCGTTTGCTTGAGATGCTTGAGAACCTAATTGAACCTTTAATGGTGGCCGAGCGGATTTCGGTTGACCCGCCCGATTTGTCCAGTGGGGAAAATGCAGAATTCTCTGCGCGCGCGTGTACCCGCGTCGAGAGCCCTGTATTGTCGAGAGTAGGGGGTTACCTTGTTGGCTGGGAACTAAATTGAAACCTTAATGGTGTCCCAGCGGATTTCGTGTGTCCCGCTCCACTTGTCTAGTGTGGACAATCCAGAACTCTCCACGCGCGCGCGTGCCCGCGTGGAGGGCCACGCATCGTCCACAGTCAAACCCAGTCGGCTTGGAATTAAAATGAACCGTTAATGGTGGCCGAGCGGATCTCGGGTGAACCGCCCGATTTGCTTGCCGAGTGTGGGAAATGAAGAATTCTCCACTTGCGCGATCACCCACGTGGAGAGTTTTGTGTTCTCGACAATTGAACGCAGCCCTGTTTGCTTGGAAACTTAACTGATTTTTTCACGGTGGTCGAGCGGATTCTGAGTGACCCGCCCCTCTTGTCGATTGCGGGAAAACAGAACTCTCCACGCGTGCGCGTGCCCGCGTGGAGTATATTGCGTTGGCCACAATAGAAGATCAAGGCGTTGGCTTGGCAAGTAGCAGGGAACCTCTAGCGGCGCCCGAGCGGATTCCGGGTGACTCGCGCAGGAGTCTCGCTTCTTCCAGGGGTGGTCCCTGGGCGCGGTCTCTGTCCAGGCCAGGGTTGCAGGGCGTGGCTGGCGCAGCCCGACGCCAGAAGGGGGCGCACGGGGGGCAGTCCTGGAGCGCGGAGCGCCAGAGGCCTTCGCGGGGACGTCGCCCCGACCGTTCTTGGGTACTTCTGTTACTTAGGGCCCCAATTCCCTGCCTCCCCCCCGGGTATCGACCGTGCCTCTTCAATGCGCGGCCCCATTGCGGCCGCGGCCTGCCATGGGCCGGGGGAGCTCTGCAGAGCTCCCGAACCCTTCCCCAGGACCAGTCCGCCGCCGCAGGCTCAGTTTTGGTGTCCGGGGGGCCCTCGGGGTCTACGTTTGGTGGTCGCGGGGGGGGGGGCCCGGAGACTCGCCCCGGCGGCCGAAATCCGGGGAAGAACGCCCAGATTGAAACAGTCATCATCGGACATCTTGGTTTGTGGCCTTCTGGGTGCTCCCGGGGGCCACGCCGTCACCCGGTCTACACCGGAACCCGCGGCCCTGGGACCCCGCTAGGCTCGTGGCCCTGGTGCAGACGCTGGTGCCGCGCTCTGGGTCGGCCTCCTCGTGTCGTCGTCGTCGTCGTCGTCGTCGTCGTCGTCGGTCTAGGCCGTGGCCCCCGCAGGTTCAGATCGAGACCTGAGGCCCTGGGACCCCTCTGGTCTAGATGCCCAGATCTCCAACAACCTGACTTTGTCAGCCTGTGTTTTTTCGTCGATGCTGGCCTTCGGGGGCCTTTGTCTGGCCCCGGGGCCACCAACAACGGACCCGCGACGGAAAGCTGCCCCAGGGAAGGAGGGGTCGGGACTTCAGCTGGGGCTGGCGGCCCTGTGCACGCGTGCGGCTAACGAGTTTGGTTTGGTTCTCACACGAAACAAACATATCGTCAGATGTTTGGGGGCCTGCGGCCCGGGGTCCCCGCTGGTCTACGTCTGGACCTGTGGCCCTCGCTCCCCCCTTCGAGTAGGGGATGTTCCTCAAACTTGATTCCTTCATCGAGTCCACGAGCAATTCAAGTTTACGCATGTGTCGTAGGTTCGGCGAGAAAAAACAGTTTTGGGGTAAATCCATTCTGTAGTCGATCCCCTACTCGACCACTGCCCCTCGGCCCCGCCCCCCCTTGGCCCGGGGCCGTGATGCTGAGCGGCACGGCGGGTGCGTCCACGTCCCTGTCGAGCTCGGCGAGCGCGGCGTGCAGGGGCCCGCGAGAGTGTCGGGCGCCAGGCCCCGCGTTCACCTGCGAACCTTGCCCCTGCGGGTTCAGTCGCCGCTGGAGTACTGGACGCGCCCGCTGGGGCTCAGTTGGTTGCAGACATCCTTCAAGTTCTGAACCCCAGTTTCGGTGACGAGCGAGGGGGGGGGAGTGAGAAGGGGCAGGCCTTCTCAGAAGGCTCGGAAGTCCCCCGTCCTTCCGAGATGTGTTCTAAGCCTTCCCCTAAGACACACAACATTTCTCAGAAGGCCCGAGGTCTTCTGAGAAGCCCCGCCGCCTTCTGAGACGGCCTTCTCCTTCTCGCTTAGCCCTCACGCTCACCGCCGGCAGTTGGCTGCAGACATCCTTCACATTCTGAACCCCAGTCGTTCTTTCAGAAATCTGACCTGCAGGGGTAGGGTTCGGATGTGCGCGGTGGAGGGAAGCAGGTCCAACTGCGCCAACAATCGCGCGTGACCTGCCCGCGTAAGGCCGCGCGTACGCATCCTCTCTCCTCCACGCGGTGTGCCGCGCTGTCGGCCCGCGTAAGCCGCGGCGTAAGGTCGCTATGTCGTCTCGCATAGGACTCGCTTCTTGTCATCGTTTAAGTGGCTGCCCGCAGGCACCTCACGATCGTCGAGACGGTCTACGTCATGAGCCAGATCCTCACCACCGTGGGCTACGGCGACATCACCCCAGCGCACGAGGACAGCCCTGGCTGGCCGCCCCTTCAGCGGCATATAGCATCGGCCCGATCCCACTGGATGAGGTGGGGTACAGCAGGGGCTGGAGCGCGGATGAGGAGCAGGAGCAGGAGCAAAATGCGGAGCAGGACCAGGACGACGAGGAGCAGGACGCGGGTGCTGAGGAGCATGAAGAGGATTCTGATGATGCTGATGATGCTGCTGCTGATGGTGATACTGACGTTGACGATGCTGCTGCTGCTGATGATGAAGACGATGATGATGGTGATGGTGATGACGATGATGATGATGCTGATGATGATGCTGATTATGATGATGATGATGATGCTGATGATGATGATGATGCTGACGCTGCTGATGCTGATGATGATGGTGATGCTGCTGCTGCTGATGATGATGATGATGATGTTGATGCTGGCGATGATGACGATGATGACGATGCTGATGATGATGATGATGATGAGGATGAGGATGAGGATGAGGATGATGATGATGCTGCTGATGATGATGGTGATGATACTGATGATGATGATGATGATGATGATGATGATGATGATGATGATGATGATGATGACGCTGTTGCTGATGATGATGACGATGATGATGACGATGATGATGATGATGATGATGATGATGATGATGATGATGATGATGATGATGATGATGTGGACGAGGATGATGAGGAGGATGATGATGATGATGAGGAGGAAGAGGAGGAGGAGGAGGGGGAGGAGGGAGGAGGAGGAGGAAGAGGAGGATGAGCCATTTGGATCAAGTCATTTTCGGCTCAAGCCATTTTTGACTCAAGCCGCCGTGATGCCACATATGTTTGGATGTCCAATGTTTTGCGAGGAGCTGGAGAAGGCGCGGATTCCTTCGGCGTGACAATACATAAGTATAGCCGGGCGAAGCAATGGAGTGCAGCATTGCAGTTGCTCAGCGAAGGAGTTCAATTGCGTGTGAAATCTCCCTCAGGCCACTACATTGCGGCCGTCAGCGTATGCAGAAAAGGCGGGCAATGGCAATGAGCGCTGCATTTGCTCAGGAAAATGTTGAAGTCGCAGGTCGGGTCCATCGTAGTCTCTTGTACAATGCAGCGATCTTTGCGTGCGAGAAGGTCCTCTGTCCCGAAAGGCCGCCCGGGCCCTCCAGGGCGCCCTGCGAGTCCCCCGGGCGCTCCGAGACGGCTCCAAGGGGTCCTCAGAGTCCCAAGACGGCGCCATGGCGGCTCAGGGACGCTCAAGAGGGCGCTCGGACGCCCGAAGAGGACCCCAAGCGAGACCCAGGACGGCCCCAGAGGCCTCCAAGGCAGGCCATGCGGCTCCCAAGACGGCCCACGAGGACCCCCAGGAGAGACCCAAGAGGCCCAACTCGCATCATTCATGTCGGAAAACGTATTTTGTTTCGTTCGTCTGCACAGTCTCCAAGACGGCTGTACAGGCCCCCGAGATCGCCCCAAGGCGCCCCCACACGCCCCCAGGAGGGCCCCCAAACGGCCCGAGACGGCTAGGGGGAGCACGAACGCGGCTCTTGCCACGCTTATTGTGCTTTCCCCTCTCCGCCCCGCCTCCGGCTCCAGCTGCTGTGCCGCCACGCTGCTCTCCTGCTGCTGCTCCTCCACCCGACCTTGCCCTCCCTCCGCCATGTCCCTTCGTGCGCCCACGCGGCGACAGATCAGGACAACACCAAACAAACGAACAGGAGCACGCCCGCGCCCAGTGGCCACATCCACATCCTCACAACATGACCAGGTGTGATTCTACACAGGCCTTCGGCCCATCCCGCCACCCGGCCTGAGTTGAGGGTCCGATTCCCGAAGAATGTTCCTTGAGATCCCCTCGGAGAGCAGAGGGGAGCCTCCAAGGAGGGCACTTGTGCGGCCTCCTGGGAGCGCGTTCGAACTTCCAGCGTCGTTCTGGGACCTCTTGGAGTCTCTGGGAACAATCTCTGGGCCTTTGGGGGACGCCTTGGCGCGGTGAGCTCGAAAGGTCGATTCGGGTCCTCGCATTGGAGCTCTTCTCAGAGAGTTCGTGGAGCCCTCGTGGGCCGTCTTGGAGGCCTCTTGGCTTGTCCTGGAAACCTCTTTGGGCCGTCTCGGCGCCCCCTTGCGGGCCTCTTAGGCCTTCTAAACCCTAGACGAAATTATCCTGCGACGTACCCAACCCTTTCTACACAAGTGACAATTGCATTCATGACCACTCAATACCGAAGGACATTTCGGCGCCATGGTATAGTGGTGATCTGCGTAGGACGTACCTCCGCTGAGCCTCCCAGAAGCCCATGCGCGCCAGGTGAGCCAAGCGCGCCAGGCGCGCCAGGTGCGCCAGGTGCGCCAGGTGCGCCAGGTGCGCCAGGTGCGCCAGGTGCGCCAGGTGCGCCAGGTGCGCCACGTGCGCCAGGTGGGCCAGGCGCGCCAGGCGCGCCAGGTGCGCCAGATGCGCCAGGCGCGCCAGGTGCGCCAAGTGTGCGCCAGGTGTGGGTGCGCCAGGTGCGCTAGGTGCCAGGTGCGCCAGGTGCGCCAGATGCGCAAGGTGCGCCAGGTGTGCGCCAGGTGTGCGCCAGGTGCGCGCCAGGCGCGCCAGGTGCGCCAGGTGCGCCAGTTGCGCCAGGCGCGCCAGGCGCGTCAGGTGCGCCAGGTGCGCCAGGTGTGCCAGGTGCGTCAGGTGCGCCCAGCGCGCCAGGTGCAGCAGGTGCGCGCCAGGTGCTCCCAGCGCGCCAGGTGCGCCAGGTGCGCCCAGCGCGTCAGGTGCGCGCCAGGTGCGCGCCAGGTGCGCGCCAGGTGTGCGCCAGGTGTGCGCCAGGTGCGCGCCAGATGCGCCAGGTGCGCCAGGTGCGCCAGGTGTGCCAGGTGCGCCAGTTGCGCCATGCGCGCCAAATGAGCCAGGTGCGCCATGTGCGCCAGGTGCGCCAGTTGCGCCAGGTGCGCCAGGTGCGCCAGGTGCGACAGGCGCGCCAGGTGCGCCAGCTCTGCGCTACGTGTGGCAGGCGCGCCACGTGCGCCCAGCGCGCCATGTGCGCCAGGTGCGCCAGATGCACCACGCGTGCCAGGTGTGCGCCAGGTGCGCGCCAGGTGCGCCAGGTGCGCCAGTTGCACCAGGCGCGCCAGGCGCGCCAGGTGCGCCAGATGCGCCAGGTGCGGCAGGTGCGTCAGGTGCACCCAGCGCGCCAGGTGCGCCAGGTGCGCGCCAGGTGCGCGCCAGGTGCGCGCCAGGTGCGCGCCAGGTGCGACAGGTGCGCCAGGTGCGCCAAGTGCGTCAGGTGCGCCAGGTGCGCGCCAGGTGCGCCCAACGCGTCAGGTGCGTCAGGTGCGCCCAGCGCGCCAGGTGCGCGCCAGGTGCGCCACGGGGGCAGGGAGGCCCCAAAGTGGTTTGCGTAAGACGTGTTCCCGCTGGGCCTCCCAGGAACCCACGAAAGTGGCGACAGTTGCGCAGATCGCAGCCCCCCCAGGGGACAGGGAGGCCTCAACGTGATCTGCGTATGACGTACCTCCGCTGGGCCTCCCAGGAGTCCACGACAGTGGCGACAGTTGCGCAGATCGCAGCCCCCCCAGGGGACAGGGAGGCCTCAAAGTGATCTGCGTATGACGTACCCCCGCTGGGCCTCCCAGGAGCCCACGAAAGTGGCGACAGTTGCGCAGATCGCAGCCCCCCCAGGGGACAGGGAGGCTTCAACGTGATCTGCGTATGACGTACCTCCGCTGGGCCTCCCAGGAGCCCACGAAGTGGCGACAGGTGCGCAGATCGCAGCCCCGCAGGGGACAGGGAGGCCTCAAAGTGATCTGCGTATGACGTACCTCCGCTGGGCCTCCCAGGAACCCACGAAAGTGGCGACAGTTGCGCAGATCGCAGCCCCCCCCCCAGGGGACATGGAGGCCTCAAAGTGATCTGCGTATGACGTACCTCCGCTGGGCCTCCCAGGAGCCCACGAACGTGGCGACAGTTGCGCAGATCGCAGCCCCCCCAGGGGACAGGGAGGCTTCAAAGTGATCTGCGTATGACGTGGGCCTCCCAGGAGCCCGCGAAAGTGGCGACAGTTGCGCAGATCGCAGCCCCCCCAGGGGACAGGGAGGCCTCAAAGTGATCTGCGTATGACGTACCTCCGCTGGGCCTCCCAGGAGCCCACGAACGTGGCGACAGTTGCGCAGATCGCAGCCCCGCAGGGACAGCCAGGAGCCCACAAAAGTGGCGACAGTTGCGCAGATCGCAGTCCCGCAGGGCACCGCGAACACAGGAGAGAAGGAGGAGGAGAGGGCGGAAGGTGGATACCACAGTTCTATTTTCAAAACGAGTACCCAACACAAGGAGGGTTGGGAAAAACAGGAACATGCCCGCGCCCACCGGCCCCATTCTCACCATACTACCAGATACAATCATCAATCGGCCCCGGCTAAGAGCAGATACAATTATCACTGCGCCCCGCCCCTCAGAAATTATGATGAGCACAGCGCGGCGTGAGAAACAGCTTCTGTCCACACCATGTCGTGCCTACATGAGCGTGCTTCCATTGGCACCGCCTCCACCACCGCGTTCCTGCCTTCAGGCCTGCTTGCCTGGATCCCTCGCTCACCTCCCTCTCCAGCGGCCACCTTCTCCGTCCGCACCGTCCCCTCCAACCTCTCCCCCCAGCAGCACTCATCAGTCCCGCGCGCGCAGGAGGGGCAGATTCTGGTCGGTGTGTTCGTCATGGTCGCCGTCGTGCTTTTCGCGGACATCATCCACCAGGCCTGGCTCCCCGTCGTCGTCTCCTCTTCCTGCACCTTCCTCCTCCTCGCATCCCACAGGAGGGCCTTATCCTCCTCCTCATCCTCCTACTCCCCTATCCTCTTTTTCTTCCTCCTGCACCGAGCTCCCTCCCCCACCTCCTCCACCCGCAACCACCCTGTGCGGCAGTGGCGTTGCAGTGACGTGAGGCGTTCGCGAAATATGACGGGAGTGCCGAGCGCCTCATTCGCTCCTCCCTCGGATGGCGACTTGTGGTCCTACCCGGATGGAGCGGTGCTGGTCACCAGCTGCACGTCATCCGAGTTGGCTGGCGTAGCCTTGAGTCGGGCGTGTCCCTCCACAGGGGAAAAATTCATAAATTGTTAGAAATACTATGGGGACGACTTTTTTGACAGTTTTATCAATGTTGGAATATTTTTTGAGTATCATTTATTTTTCGTCCAAAATCCGCCTGTAGGGGGACACGCCCGACCTCAGCGTAGCCCGTTAGTTCGAACGAAGCTAGTTCGCTGGCCTGCTGCTGGCGGCAGTGAGTTGGAAGCCAGCACCCCGCCCCCAGCTCCGGCCCTGGAAGAGGGCTGGGGCAGCCTGTCGACGATCGGCGTGGCTCGTCAACACTTGCTGGATAAAGTTGCCAGAGGCAGCGGTTGAGGCGTAGGTGGCGGATGAGGCGAACAGAGGAGAATGCGGAGAATGAGGAGGAAGCTAGGAGGAGCAGGGCAGGACATGATGATGCTGCTGCTGCTGATGACGACGATGATGATTATGATGATGATGACGATGGTGATGCCGGTGACGAGGAGGACAGTGAAGAGGATTATGATGATGACGACGACGATGGCGATGATGATGATGATGATGATGATGATGATGATGATGATGATGATGATGATGATGATGATGATGATGATGATGGTGGTAGTGATGGTGATGATAGTGACGGAGACTATGATGCATAGAGTGCTGATGATGACGACGATGATGGTTCTGATGATGATAGCAATAATGGTGATGGTGATGCAGATCCTTATGATGATGGCGATTATGGTAATGATGATGACACTGCTGATAATGATGATGCTGATGATGATGCTGGTGACGATGGCGATGATGACGATGGCGGAGGCAATGGCGATGGCGATGGCGATGGTGATGTTGTTGATG